CTTTTTACACAGAACCAGGACAGATGGTGACAGAGATCCACTGAATTTACAAGTCTAGTGCACAAATCAAATGTCCAAACTGTATTATGCTATGTTAACATTTGGTCTAGGTCAGTGCACTTCTAGAGCTATTGAATACATGAGATTGGATTTAGCTATTTTACATAATCTGTGTGCCTTCGGAGAGCTGAAGCCAAAGGACAATTGAGACAAAACTTGACAAAATTATAGAATTATATAATTGTGTATCTTGGAAAAGACCTTTAAGATCATAAAGTCCAACTGTTAACCTAGCCCTGCCAAGTCCACCATTTCTATCAGAGCCACAACTACATGTCTTTCAAGTAGCTCCAGGGATGGTGACTCAACCACTTCCCTGGGTAGCTTGCTGCAATGCTTGACAAACCTTTCGGTGAAGAAATTTTTCCTAATATCCAAACTAAACCTCCCCTAGCACAACTAGAAGCTATTTTCTCTTGTTCTTCTTGTTATTGGGAAAAAGAGATCAACACCACCTTGCTACAACGTCATTTCAGGTAGTTGTAGGTAGTGAACAGGTCTTTAATGCATGCTGGGGAAGAGTGGTCTTCCTTAATCTCTAGCCAAAAGCTGGAATAACAAGACTACACATACTTAAAATTGGTTGACAAGAAAATTTTGCTTCAAGGTGAACAGTCCTTTGCTCTTTTAACTATTTTTTAATTAACTGCCTGATGAGATCAGAAATGTTTTTAATTGTAACACACCAGTTTACTTGTAAAAATGCCATAGAAGAACATTTTAAAATGGTGTGTGGCAGGGATTTACTGTGTAGAGAGAAAGCAAAGTTGTGAAGAATGTGTGGAGTCAGAAAGAAATCACAAGGAAGTGTCACTAGGGAGTTTGTCACCCAAAGAATTTCTTGGACCCATTATTACAATAATTTCACAATGACAAGGAAAGCGCGGGGACATGCGATCTTATGCTTCCTGAAAGAAACAAATAAATTTACTAATTTGCTAGAGATATTTCCGAACATGGAGGTTGACTAATTATGATTAGCATTACCAATTTCTAATTTGTCACTATAATGATGAATTATACTGGATTGGACTTTGTTTCTGCTGAAGTCAGTAATAGAAATCTCCACAAACCCCATAATTTCATAATTACAGCATGAAAGTTCACACCCATTTGGAAGGGATGCATAACCTACTGCAAGCATAACCTAGTGCAAGCAGTATTTCATTGTAGTCACAAGTGGACAAGTTTGCGTGGTACAAAGGGCCTAGAAGAATACCATCCATTTGCTTTCTTATGTATGTCTGCATGAAGGCATAAATACTATTACTCCTCTGCTCTCAAAACTCATTAATGTCAAGAAGAATAAGGCTTATCCTTATTCACAGAGATGAAATGTCCTTCATTTTCCCTTGCCAAATGAAACCCAAACGCTGCTCTGTAATGCTGTTCTCCTTAGCATGCCATAAAATTTTTTTGGCACACAAAAAAAAATTAGGATTCAAGTAGTTCAATATTTTGTCAGTTTTTCAGATTAGGAGAGTGTAAGAAACTCCATTAAAACATACTGGCATTTTAACAGCTTCTGGTTGCTCCCGACTTTGGAAGGACAAGAATCTCTCTCCCTCTGTACATTCATAAGCTTTAGTAAACTTGTTCATTTCATCTTCATGCTAATATTGGGGCATTACTTGGCTTGCTCGAAGGACTTGGAACCTGTATCACTGCTTTGCATCTCTGTTACATAAGTAATAAAACTTCATCTACCCAAAATAATTTATGTTGCACAAATGAGTATATACAATCCTAATGGAATTCATAGAAAACAATTTATTAAATAAGAGATAAAGGATAAAGATATTATTTTTGGCTATCTGCTATGGACTCTAGAATATTGCAAATAAAATAAATAAACCCCACAAGAATATTAAAAAAGCCATCCTGAATTATTCCTATGCAGCCTGCAAGCTTTTTTCATCCACATCATATCAACTGTAAACAAATTGAGATAAGTTCACCACATCAAAGAATGGGTATTATATTCTGAAGTTAGAATTCACCAATCCAAACCTCAATGATTTTTTGATAGGCAAAATTCCTAAGCACCACTTCCTATTCCATTCCCTTTCTTGAGGTAATAATTATTTTCATTTGTCTCATCTTGATGGCTACCAAAGTGCCACTGAGGTGTAACTAGCTTGTTCACAGATAGTAATTCCCACCGATGTAGCTGCCTCACTTTTAATTACCAGTGGAGGGAAAATAAAATCAGATATAACACACATGATAAGGCTCCTCCTATCACTTTCTGTATGTAGCACTGACCGGTTTGTTTTTATCCTGCATTAGAGACATTTTTAAGTGGAAAAAACAATCATGTGCTTCCATCTATTTGAGAAGTTCTTTGTAAATGGGATATCACAGAACAGTTCCCATTTTGTAAAGCAGTTCCATGCGCTCCTTTTTAGATCTTTGTGATTACATTTTCTCATAGTTCAATGATAATATGAAATTCCATTTACAAATACACCTTCAGTGCAATCAGCAATCAACTTCAGAAAAAAAACTTATCTGTATATGAGTTGTTTTGAGGCTTTCTTTACTTACCTGCAATGAACAGAAATTGGCCCGTCCTGACCAAACTGCTCTTTTGTTTTATGCACTTGGCCTATGAAGTCAATAAATCCTTCTCCAGACTTTGGCACACCTTGTTCTGGCCAGTCAGTGAACTGGAACTGCCTCACTGTTCGGGACTGGCCATCCTTTAAAAAAAGACAAATAATGTATCCCAAAAGCATGTTTTAGAGGCTGGAAGTCAGTCAACCAACAACCAAAAAGACAATCACAAAACAAAGACATTGAGATGAGGTGGGAAACTGTTACAATGACATTTATGAAGACTCTTTCAATCGCAGTACTGGCTGGTGCTTTTGAATGTGTGTGCCCAGAAGTGCTGTTTCATTAACAACTTTTCATAGATTCCCTTCTGCACTGGATAGGAGAGCTGTTTGACATTCTGCCTGTGTAGAAGGCATGCCTGAGGCTAACAACAGAACAATGTCACCAGGTTTTTTTTTTTTTTTTTTTTTTTTTTGTAAGTTATGTTTTGAATCCTGCAGACCGCAAATTGTTTTGAATATAGAACAGGTAGAATAAGGCTATCCAGTCTGACTCTCCACTTCCTAGATATATTCATCTACTGCATGGTGGTATCTGATAAGACTCATTCAGTCATTGCCCTCTTTGCAGATGATATCTGTAATAGTACAGTGCTTTCTATGAGGTGGACATTTGCCTGAAAGAAGATGGGTCAATACAAATTAGTTGTTTAACAAACCATAAACTTCCCTTCAACCATTGTAATTTCATTTACTAGCAGCTTGGGCTCAGTAAAAATCAAGAAGAAGGGCCTCCTTCCTCAAAACAAGTAGGCTGAAGCTGTTCATTCCCTTTGGTTAGGAATACTAACAGGATTGTTTAAAACTGCAGAAAACCAAGCATCCTAATTTTTATAATGAAGTCAATGGAAGTATTAAATACCATCTTCTGCTGTATGCCTATTTAATGCGTAAATGGTCAGGACACAAAACCAGAAAAAATACAATAGAAACAAATGAAGGAAATTTGTTCTGAATTTTCAAACATTGTTCTTGATTACTTTGACACTGTCAGATTGCACAGCTTATATGTTTTAAAAGCAAGGGCATAAAAGCCCTTACCTGAGCCACTAATGTGAACTAGTGCCTCTGGACGTATGGTTTCCTAAGCACCCACCCTGCTACGTCTTCAAAATTATCTTCTACTAAGCAAAGCTCATGAAGAATTGAAATTATTATAGGCATCAAGTTATACTAGAGGCAAGAACAATCTTTACGAATTTTTCCACTACCACTAACACTCAGATTTTACAGACCTTTGAAATGAAGTCAAAGTAGTTTTAAGAATAAACAAAGAAAAACCCAATATTTTGCTTTTTTGTTTCCTCTACTACTGTGCGGTTTTGCCTCCTATGTCCTAGATGAGTAAGGAGAATAGAAAATGGGTGTAAGTGCCAGTCACTGCTGGACACACATACACTTCTTTTACTGTCTCTTATACTCCTACTAGACCACCGTGACAATTAAGTAGTCTATTTCTGTGGGATGTTTTTGCCCACTTACAAAGGAAAAAAAAAACTTCAAAAACATTTACGCAGTTTTATTTCTTGTGGACTTAAGCACAAAGAACTAAATACTTCCTACCAAAACTGCATTCAGTTAATGCAGACTTCTCTTACATTGGTCTCTGTGACCCCATTTTCGCTCAAGAAGACATAATGAAATTATATCCTTCGGACAGCCTTAAGCACATGACATTAGTTAATCAAAAAGACTAACAACAGGTTGATTCCCTCCACAATAACCTGCCATTCTTCTAAAATAAAGAAAAAAAAAATATGTCTGACTCCTACCATGTTTGTTAAGTAGATGGAAGCTCTTCAGCAATTTCTGACCCTGATAAGAATTATGCTAGAACAACAGTAACTTTTTAGGGGTAGAAAAGATAAGAAATACACTGCTTTACTCAAGCCCAGGCTGTCATTGGAAAGACCACAAATTTCAATGTGCGAAATAGACCCGGCAGTAAATACGTATTCTTCAGATGTGTCTAACCACAGCTGAACCAGTATATTTCATGATCACAGTAACTCAGTAACCCAGTGTGAATCTATGAAAGCCTTTGTGATTTAGTTTTAATGGCAGTAACTTCTGTTATTTAATGCTATTTAATGAGCACAGAAGTAAAGTTAGTCTGTCTGATGTTAGAGTAGCATTAAAGCATATTGGGAACTAATCTGCAATTTCTTACACAGCTCCCTTTGCTACTGACATTATAAACAGTGCTGTTTTCTTCTAGTGACATGCTTGTCAATAGCAGTCCAAATAAAAATGTCAAATTTTATTAAAATCTTTACTTTCAAATATTGTGACAGTTTGCACAGTTAGTTATCAAAATATGAACTTTCAGATCCCGACATGGAGCGGAGCACTTTTAATGTATCATCCTATTGATTGTCTGACCATTTGGATTTCTACTTGCTTCTCACAGGGGATATTCAATTGTCTTTTGATGAGGCTGTAGAATTCATAATACTCTCTTACAGCCATCACTAATTGTTTAACCTTAAATGAGGCTGCCCAAACAGATTGACCTCTGGAGTTTACAGAGCAAGTGAGTATAAACCAGCCAGGAACAGCAGACTGAAACAGCTACAGAGGTCCATTTCACCTTACAACAATTCACAGCTCAGTTTCAGAAATAACAGGGAGTTCCACAGCAGACACTTGCTGCTGACACCTACAAAGGCAGTGTGCTTCTTTTCTTGTCACGGGGGAATAATTGGCCAGCTTGGCTCTGCGCCACATCACAGATGGTATTCTAACGTTACAGATGGGTTTGGACATGAGAGGAAGAGAGGCTGGTTAAAACTGCTGCAGCATTTACTCTTCTTTGAATACAACAATTTAGTTACATAGTCTCAATTACAGGGTGTGACAGCCATAAAAGCCTAAGTACAGGAAAACTATAATATACATTTTGGTAAGTAGTCCCTACAGCTTTCAGTAAGTTTGGAAGGAGATATAGTTTCCCAGCATATCTAGAAAATTGAAGATGGCCCTGTGATCTTGCCAGTGTGTTGCTTAACAAAATTTGGTCCATCAAGGTAAAGATATTTTTACAATTTCAGAACTAATGGTATATGATGGTAAAATGCCATGACACGATTGCCAAGGTGCACATATGCTTGGCACTTCTTAAAAGAAGTGTGCTAATATTGGGTACAATAAAACTATTTCTGGCAAATTAACTTATGTGACCCTTTTAGATTGTTTACTGATGTGTGATTATAAGTAAACAGACTTCCATAAATATACTAGTTTGCATGAATTTCAACTACAGCTGAAAAACAACATTTTTTGATATAATTGTTATTTTATGATCCTATTTTGGTGAATTATGTCACATAAGATTTCTTCCAGTTTGAGATGGAACAGCTGATCTATGAAAAATATTGGCACAGTTGTAATGAAATTGGCTTTGACTGCATATGCTTACAAGTGTAGTTAAAGACTGATATTAGGAGTCTGTTCTTATCTACTTTTGTTAAGCATAAATAGGTTAGAGAAGCTATGAGTCATGTGATTCTTACTGGATTCCAAATAGAATGAAAATCAGATCCTGTGTGTCTACAGCTTCTTTTTAAAAACACGCACCTAAGTCTCATTTTCCAAATTAAAATGTTGATATGCTACTTGGTTAGTGACAATACTGTCTAGCTAATTGTCAATAGTACCTAATTTTACTTGAGGCAGCAGTCTAGCTAACCATCAGAAAGTCTAGTATTTTGGATGCTGACTGGTAACTGAGTAATCACTCATGTGAGTTTACATTACCTGGACAGTACATCCTGCTATTTGCTTGAACAAATAGTATTCTAAAGTGCTTACAAAAATGGAGGCTGTCAGTAATTTTTCCTTCCATGAAGACTAAAGTGCTAGAAATCAAAAGTCTGAGAAATGCCAAATAAGTATTTAAAGTTTATGTATATTTAATCCTGTATTGGTGCTCAGTTTTGGACTCAGAAGTTCAGATAAGAAATGCAGTGCGAAAATGAGGATGCTAGGGTCACAGCTTTATGTATCTACTCTGCAAATATACAACAGTGCTGAAAATAGACTATGCCAAAAAATCAAATTACAATGTGCAAAGCCTGTCAAGCTTTTCTCATGAATGCTATTTGCTCTGCAGTTTTTAAATCTCAACATATTAACCTTCATACTCATTCTGCCTAGACGGTGGTGCAAACCAACATATTTACAGCTGTAAGTGACAAAAACGGCCCCCTGAAATGATTAAGGGGGAAACGGGGAAAAATGAGAAAATGATCCTCAAATCATCTAATGTATTTTGGCACAAACAGTTATCCAGAAATTTACAAAGTTATGCTGTCCAGATGTTTAATCTGAACTAAGTCAATTGCTCTTACACAACAATCCCATTTATTCAATAATAACTTTATCTGCTTTTTGTTTATTGCTTGTAGAAAGTACACTCATAGGGGTTTTTCCTTCATAATAATAAAAATGGGGGAGAGGAGGAAAGAGGGTAAAAAAAGAAATTGACATTTTCTTTAGTAAGTGTACTTAGTTACTAGTTACATTACTACTGTAATGCTACGTTAACTTACCCTTGCATCTGTAACCTTGAATTCCCTCAGAATATACTGTGGCATGTTGTACTCTGCCATAGGATCTACCACAAAATACTGGTATCTGGCTGAGCGCTCTGCAGGCCAATACTGGTGGCATTTTTCCTACAAAATAATGAAGCAAAATCCATTTTCTACTACTCAAGACCACTACAATAATCTGGTATAAACCTTTTTTTCACTCAGATAATACTCATGGGAAGTGCCATTAGTGACAGAAATATGAACTGTTTATATTGGATGTGAAGTTCCATACCTGGACTAAAAAATTATCTTCAGTACTGCATTGCAAAGAGATTCTCTCTAGTTGCTGTACATTTAAACTCATTTATAGTTCTGCTCAGTTCTATTATTAATCAGTGAAAAGATCTACCCCTTTCAATACAGAAAAGAATTTAAATCTTGAGGCCATCTTCAGTATTCTTTCTTGTTCCCTGTTGAAGCAAGTCCCCCTGGCCTCAGTCAAGACTTGATGTCTGCACCCACTAGCCATGTCCTGAATCACCTCTATTCCCCAAACATATGCCCTGAGTCAGATTTCACTTATCACATACTACCTTTATCTTGATGTAAACCTGTCCAGATTGTAAACTGTTTTGGTCTTCCCATTACACAAACCTGCACTCAGGTGAGTTTAGGAGTGTAAACTGCGTGCTGAAGCTTTAAAGTTCCATGTTACAAAGACACAGGAGACATTCAGATTCGAAAATCCAACACTTCCTTTTAACATTGTTAAAAAAGGTGCCGCAAAAAGTGAAGTTTACAGGTAATGAATCCTCATTTTACAATAGAGAGCAATGCTATCTCTTCATACTTCAAAACATCAACGTGCAAAGTTGCTGAATCTCCTTATACCTAATGATCAACAATGCTACCGACATTTCAAAAGGAGAAGGAACTTAAATCGTCAGCTTTACCTTTAGTCATTCTTGTAACAACGAAATAAAAAAAATCTTACTAACATTTTAGTAAGGGTGTATGGCAACATTACTTACTCTGCCCATTTCTCGTAGTTTAGTGAGCATGACCACAATTGTAGAATTATGCTCCCAGAGCATTCTCCAGAAGTCTTCAGTGGTTTCTGCTAAAGGACCCTGTGTAGCTATGTAAGCTTTTTGTTGTCTATATTGAAAAAATAAAGTAAATTAAGAACAATATTTTAATTAAAAAAGTGAATTGATGAACATGTTCTTTGTTTATACATAAACATTATCTACATGAAAAATTTATATACTATTAGTAATAAGCATATTAAAATCTTATTATGATTGTTTAATTAAAATATGACTTTTTATTTTTAGAACTTTGAGAGGGAAATTACTCTGCTAATATTATGATGTATGTCTTTATTATTATTATTTAAACGTTAATGCAACTCTAATAGTTCAATTTTTTGTGCTGTAAAAAGCACTTAAGAAACACTTAGTAGTGCTGGTTCATTTTGTAGAAATAACTGTCTAACAATCTATTAAATTTACAAATTATAGCATCAAGCAGTTTCTTTATTAACTCCTTTTCATCAGTCTGATGCCTGCACCAAAAGTAAGGCAGGAAGAAATTTCAGGAATGGAGTGCACTGCATTTCCAGGCCTTAATACCCTACTAGCGGTAGCTACCACCAGGCTGTTAAAACTTTTGGATCAGATGACGACCCGCTCATGTTGTTCTTGCTTCTTTCAATGAACAGAAACACCTTCATGTGTGGAGATGAATACAGTTGCAACTATGAAGCAGAGGTTCACAGAATGATCTCTGTGGGCAGGGATACTCAAGCATACCTAAACTGCCTTAGGGAAACTATACTGCTTCTCCTTCATGCCTTTCCCTAGCAGCTGCTTGGACTTAAGGCCGAGGGCACATTGCTCCATGTTATCATGAGGATGCTGGTGGGCTACACAATTGTTTAAAATGTATGAAATGCTTTTGGTGGCTAGGTCTTGTCTTAATTGGCATCCCAAGATCATAAGTTATCACCCTGACATAGAGAATGCATCTCCTGTATGTTATTTCAATATACCTTTTCAAGTAGAATAGTTGAGAACAACAGAAGTTCCAAATCATGAATGTGCTTAAAATCTTCAGCTTGTAAAATATACTGGGAGTTCTTAATGGTTTAAAGGTAGGCAAAAATATAATGTTTAAGACCCTGTGTCATTTACAGAAATTTCCTGTATTGCATGAGTGAAAATCTAAACATTTAATTAATATATAAAATGAATAAAATAATATTTTAAACCTCACCCAATCAAACATGGCATGCACAAATAACAATACTAAATTTCAATATTAAATATTGTTAATTTCAATATAATTACATAAATATTTTTGTAAACATATAAAACAGCCTGTGTGAGTACACATCAGCATCAGTACCTGTATCCATCAATGAAACTGGCATTAATATAATCAGAGCCTTCTACTCCTCGGATTGGCTGCAAGCATACCCTTGTAGAATCAAATGGCATAATATTGACAAGGCGATTTTTGAATTTATTACATGGAAGATTGGCACTGATGAATCTTGAAGTGTGAGCCTTAGAGCTAGCAAGACGCTGTTGAAAAGAAATTAAAAGTATTAAGGCCAGGTATAACAAAAACAAATTGCACTAACTATCAGATTTGATAATCTCTGCTCATTATCCATTAATGAATAATTTGAATTTCAGATGCTTACTTTTCCATATTCTACTGCATTATCTAAATATTTTTAAAGCTTCTTTAAGACCTTATCAAAGATTAATGCCAGCTGCAGTAATACATACGGACAAATCTGAGTATTAAACCATTACACAAATACATGTTTCAAGCTATTCAAACAGTAAGGGAACAAGCAGGGTTAAACCGTCCTCCCTGAACAGTTCTCATCTGGACACCAACTGAGGACAGAATTTTACATTTTACAGAGGATTGTTTTCCTAACTTGAAATTTTAACCTGCAAATGTCTTATCTTTTCATTACCGGAAACAACCGGTGGAGGACAGAGCAGCATTAACTGTTACATCATTTGGCTTTGGTTCCCCACAACATAAAATCCCAGTACCTTAAATTCCAGTTCCATTCCTGTGACATTCTCGCCTGTTTCTATCTGTGTCAGCTTCTGGATATATGCATACAGGTTTCTGGCTGGCACTTCGGTATTTCCACATGTCACTGCTTCCAGCAGCGCATCGTGGATAAAGATGTATTGGTCCTCAGTTTGAACCATGTAATTCCTCTGTGCTCTCATTAGAGTTACGTGGCCATAAATATCTACAGTCTTTTCATGCTTTATTCTCTCTAACATGGCATCTATCACAATGAAACAGCCAGTCCTGCCGACCCCAGCACTAAAAGAAATGAACACAGGAAGGAAAACATGAAGGACTATTTCAGGCATTATGTTTACTTTTATGGCATTCAAGTTTTAAAGTTTTGTAACACTTATTGGAACAGAACATTTTCCTGAAAATAAAAATCAGCGTTTATGAAAAAGGTTGGTGCCCTGAAATAAGTAAACTCCTTTAACAGACATTACAAGCAATTGAGAACATGGAATGCTTTTAAAATGGGATGTTTATATCTTGCAGTTTCAGGCTTGACTATAATAGAAATATACCACATTGCAACATGTTCTAGAAATATGTGTTCTTAAAAACAAAAATTACTGGAGATGATGAATCCTCTAAGAATTCAAGCTTTATTTGTAGTATGATTTCTAACTCATTAAACGTGATGGTTTAGCTATTCTGTTTACCAAAGTGAATTTATTGGCAAACAATAACGTTATGGAAAATGAGTCTTACATATTTCTATTGTGCTTTGGAGGTAAATTTTCTAGCCCTCTTCCAACTCTGTCAATGTTGGACTCCTATTAAAAAACTTTGTTCTGTCCTCTGCTCTTTCACTTAGCCAGGCTACACTGTTACTCTTTGCAATGCAGAGTCATGCCTGGTTAGCTGTGCTGGCTGTACACTCAGGAAATCTCCAGTTGTCACGTCAATGTCTATCCTGCATCTCTAGAGAAGTGTAAGAAAGTTCTGGAATGGCCAGAACCTGGACCAGGAGGCTCTGTCATCTCACTATTTCAAAGGACAGATCACAAAAGGACTAGAATGTGCTTAAAGATAGTTTGAAATCACAGCATTGAATTAATGTCCAGACTGAGTGAGAAATATTTTCCAGGCACAGGTAAAGATAGTGCTTCCTCACAGGTTCTGAGTCAGTGTTTTATTTCAGGCAGAGCTGACATGAAGTTGCATCAGTCCTGTTGAGACCAAAGAACTTGTACTAGTTCTTAGTTTTCTGCACAGTAAGGTATTCCTCAGGAACAGGTTTGAGCTAGAAAGTTGCATTCCCCTTTCTGGTGGGACTTGAGGGTTGAAGACCTGGGTCAGCTACTATGAGCTTGGCACAGGAATAAAACTTGATCATGAAACACACAGGTGGATCTAAGGGAGTTAAATTTGTCTCACTAATATATCTACTTAACAGCAGTTTATCTTTCTGATACCTGCTGTCAAAATGTGCCAGACTTTAAAGGACTTCCAGTGATGCCCTCTCTATCTTAAAGGTGTTGTCTGTTACATGCATGGGCTACCTTTAATAACTCCTGATAGCAATGCTGTGCAATCAGGAGAGGAAAAAGAGATACAGTTCTCACTTTGATGTGATACTATTAGTCATACATGATCCTTTATTAAACATTTGGCATAACTGAACAGGAATGATATAGAAGGAATACGAAAATGACCACAGAATACACAAGACCAGAAAATATACTGAAGGTCTGAATATGCAACTTGTGTGCTAAACAGAGCCATATTTCCTAAAATCGCTACAGGAATTCTCTTACGGAGATGTTTGGACATCAACAGTAATGAATCAAATCCTCAGATGGATGATTCTCTTTTCCAGCCATGTATATGCCTGAACTTTATGAAGTTTTGTTTCAACTACTTGCATACATGTAAGCTACATAAATCACAAGTACAAAATATAATTTTTTTTTTCTATCTTTTTTAGAACCAGGACCACATCATGCCTGTGATAATCAATGGCAAGTTTCTGGCATCCTAAACTGCTTAACTGTTTTCAGTATGCAGCATGTACTACAGTAAGGAAAAATGTACAAACCCTCCAGACATTATCTACATTAAGGATATTAAAGAACACCACAAACCAACATTTTCTGAAAAGAGAGAGACAGTAATAAAAATAATTATAACACAGCTACTAGAGGACAATTATGTAAAAGTAAAAAACTTCTGATAGTTCCTATATTTTCATGAGATACTAAATATCTTAAATCCATCCTGCAATCAATAATCAATGGTAAACCTTTATTTTTTTGCACAGTTATCAGCAAACTACATTTACTTACAACCAAATCGGAAAGAAGTACAGAGCAGAAAGACATTTTAGTCTCACAGGAGTTAAGTTTTGCTTCTATGATTTCATATTTACATACTGTTAATTATATATTCTTGCCACCAGTTACTCCTCCAAGAAGCAGATCTCCTTCAAACAGCTGAGGACGTCTGCTGACAGTCCAAATGCATCAATCTCAACTTTCTTAGATGTCATTCTGACAAGAATTAATCAATATTCTGAGCTTAAGAAAACACACCAATCAATGATATTGATCAATGGGAGTTCTATAGAAAGAAAATATACAGATAAATGAAATTATGGCTATCTTAGCTAAATGGGAGTTCACTTACCTTATATAATAAAAGCTCTGCATTCCAGAAAACTCTAGTGACCCTAATGTTGGTAATAATCATGGAGGAAAACTCAAAAAATTGTCTCATTTTTCTTTTCTATTTTTGGATTGCAAAGAAATCACCACAACTAGCACACATTTGTATGTCTGACTGGTTTATATAAAATTTTAAACCATCTCTATCATGATTCTTCCTTGCATTTGGTTTTTATCAATCTAACAAGTGCTGGCTAAGTGAGAAATAAGAAGGTTTGAATGTGCAGATGTTCTAAGTAGTTTAGAATATGGCTGTCTTTCCTATCACATACCAATGAATTAATGTTCCAGCACTGTGTTTATAACGGGATATGGTATTTTTCACCTCAAACGTTAAGAGGTTCACTGGTACCTACAGACTACAATGCCAAAAATTCCAGAACAGTTAAAGCTTGTACTTTCATCTGGAACAAGCAGTTTTCATTTCTTATCTTCACATTTTGCATTATCATTTATATACTTATTTTTCCCCTGAGCAAACTCCAAGAGGAGTGGTTATTAGCATACCGCATTGCTGGAGAGACTTGCTAGTTTACAGGTTTATGCAGAGCTTGTGAAGACCATGACAACAGACCAAAACACATTACTACACACCAATGTTTTCATGGTAAGTATGGAAGGGTCTACACACTACATTTATTGAGACATTTGGCTCCACTGGGCTCCTGACAATCTACTCTCCAGATCCTTTTATTGAGCAAGATATTTTAGTACCTTAAGGTGCTCACGACACTACAAAACTGTCAATTACAAATGAGCTGCACAACTACCAGACTACCCTTTTCACTTCCCAGGTAAAAATGGAGCCAATGCTATGAATATTTTAACTTCCTTCCTCTTTGACCCTACATATCTTCTAACTCCAAACTCCAACAATTTCATCTACAAGAGGAAGATATTATCCTATCATTATCTCCCATTTCTTCTTCTCTTCTGCTGTCATACAGACTTCTTAACATGGTACAGCTACACAGCTGTGAAGTCATGCAGGTTGAATCCTCATCAATATGCCACTGGAATATTAAAAAAAGAATTACAATATTCCTACCTACTTACTGCAAACAATGTTAATTCAGCTAATGAGAATAATTTCACAAATTCAGCCTATACTTGTAATTTACTTTCTCACCCTTTTGGTTTGCATCTTTTGGTGTTAGCTGAAAATCTAAGCAGTCTATTAAATAAATATGCCTACGAGGAAACTTTTACTGCTTTAAACATTATTATTTATCCTATTATAACATTTGCTTTCAATTTCTAAAACCACAATTGATTCAGTCCCATGAACTGAAACATGTTTAATGTCCTGTGATATTGCAATCCACAAAAAGAAAAATTAAGATGCATGAGGGGGGCATTCCATATTAAAATCATTGTATGGATGTGTTAAAGGTTGGCTTTTGTGATTAATTTGTAGCTGTTTCAATGATGACCCTTTACTGTTACTTCGGTGATTTGGCAAAGGAAGGCTGTGTAATTGTCAGTATTCACAGATCATTTAATTGGAAGCAAAGACAGTAAAATATGGACCAAAAATCGTTTAGGACATTTTTGACTCGTATCAGGGGAAAAATTTATGGAATATTACAATTTTAGATTGAATGAAGCTTGCATTTATGAACTGAAAGTACATAAAATTGCTTGTGATATGGGAAACATAAAAATGCCTGAATTTTACTGAGGAACTTCATATGATGAATTAGTTGCCAATCCCACAGAAATTCTGTACTTGTTATGACAAAGGCAATATTTAAATTATTTTCTTCTTTTCCTCTTAGGAAATTAAAACATGGTTGAAAATCCCCCCTGTACAAGAGGCAGCAAAAAAACCTCATATGAAAGCACTGAACATCTTTTTGAAGGGATACATCTGACTGAAATAGCATAAAGACCCTGTGCAAAGAGGTAAATTTGGACTTCATTTTAGAAGAGATACCAGACTGCTTAAATAATTGAGAATTGTTCTGCATGTACACAATGACTTTTGTTTCTTCTCACTGTGGTTATGGTTGGATATCAGCAATCAAGTATGGTATATCACACATTTTCAGGTGTAATGCTTCATCAAAAAAAAGGCTTTAGCCATTGCATTTTCTTTATTTCTATTCTATGCATGGAGGCAACCATATTTGTCACTGAAATCATATAAAGCTTCTTGAAAGGAACAAGGGAAGAAAAAAAATCAGAAAACAGAAGATTTCACTACAGGTAGATAAGGTTCAGCCTAGAGGTCCCTGAAGTTTTCATACATAGCTGACAAAAGCATAGAAGGCTCATAAATCAAAAGTCAGCTTTAGATCCTTCTTCCTTTACTGAGCTTTATGAAGATTTTCCTCTCAGTCTGCGTGATCTGAGAATTCTACCATTACCACAAATTCTTCAAAAAGAACTGCACCAAACTCAAGCCTGTTCTTTTGTAATCTACAATTGCAGAAGCGTACTAATGTTCAGGAAGTAAATCTGTTCTTCATCTAATCCTGAGTTCAGCTCTGGAGAGATCAAGCATAAGAAGCTGTCTTAACAAATTGTGTCATGAACAGAAACAAACTCTCAAATATTAAAACATACAGAATCAAGACTCCAAGAAAT